AATGTTGCTAGACTTAATATTCCGTAGAAAGCTGTTGATAAGGTATCAAGAATGGTAAGATGCTAGATTAGTTCCTATGAATAATACCAATACCAGCAAACCCAGGTTGTCAATACCTACCTAGGTGAGGTAGGTACCTTTTACCACCATAAAAAAATCTTCATTGGACCGCGCCACAATCACTTCTCGGGGTCTTAACAGGGTCCAAGCCTTTCATTCTTTAACTAGTCAATATGTGTCGCTCTGCCATATTTTACTCTATTAAAACCCGCTACCAGTCTCAACTACGGAAATTGTGGTGGATTTGAAGGATGATTTACATTGTCCTGATCTTCCCTTTCAGCCACAGCCACGGCCACGAGTTGTAGATAGTTGCCTACTAAGAGGAACTGCGACGATCACCCCCCAAATCCCCATGTGTGTCTCCATTTGTTCTGTAGCTAGAGTTCAGTCCGTTTTTTGGGCTACCACACTTTACTTTGTCGTCGGGACGGTGAGTAGAAATGGTTGACTTTATGGAGTATTCCCATAGACAATGCTCAAATGACCCTTGATATGAGGACAAACACCTAGGGAGGTAGGCTAGGGAGCCTTTCTATTTTCTGCTGAATTCAAACCTTCAATACTAGATCAATTAGTAAAATACAAGAAGAGGATTTTTCATACACTGAACGGAGACAATGGAATTTAAAACTAATACCCACTTACTCCGCCCTTTACATTCTCCAGTCCTCAAACAAAGCGTGGCAAAATGAATCCACTGGAGAAAACCGTTCGAGAGCTTGTCTCAGTTTCCGTTCTACTTCATGATAGGGCCAATTTTTACTGAACGCTAACTCTTAAAACTAATCCACCTACAGACTAGAGTGTCTACTCTAGGGACCACCGTAGCAGCGCTCCTTTGTTCCCCTATGGTACTTGCCACATGGGGATGCATTGATAACCAAACCAGCCCAAGGCTTCGCTAGACCGAATTTTACTGGCAAATGCGACCACTGCACTAACTATCTACTACTGTGTATTCATATCGACATGTTGAGGAGTGTCAGCTCTGTCTTGTTCAAGCTAGCTCCTGCGGACTTGTAGCCATCGTTCAGAGACGGCAGGTACCCCAGCACAAAAAGATCTGTACTTGCATATCTCCAATCTATATGCAGTAGAGATGCGCTTACAATTTCGGTGATACTCTCAGAATATCGTGCTCAATTCGAAGCACCTACCAGGACCCACTAAGGTAACCGACCCATCGTTAAAATCATCCGAGCCAATCAGCATTGTATAGTTTGCTTGTATACTCGAAGCGACCCCGTGGCACTATTCCTGACTGGGCCTACAGGAGGCAAAAATACCAAGGCAACCTAGGTACCTTAGGTAGGTACTTTTGCGTGAATGAAGAATCCTAACTGCCTGGTCCTACACACTCACCAGTGCATCCAATACCAAAATTGAAATTGCGGGCTGTCTGGCATACATGGGCTACGTAAGGTGTCTATACAAGTCTCAAATGCTTGAGATCTAGGAATGCCTATAAGCACGCAATATTTGTCATTGCCAGTTGTCCGATACGAAATAGTGGCTGGAAATTAGAACACCAATACTCAAGTACAGTGCTGTTCTCCATATGATCCTACTGGCACCTTGGAAGTCAGATCTTGGAACTCTGCATTAATTTAGATTGACCCAATCGGAAGTGAGCAGCATGAAGTCCTGCGTTGTATTTGTCTTACTTGCTCGCCTGATCTCTTTTAGTGATGACTGATCCATCTTGTGCAATGCCCCAATTCCTGTTTTTGGTCCCTCGATTCCTGCCAAGGCACAAGTCCGACGTTTTCAATAGATTGTTCCCTGTATCGACTTCCAAGCACCGTCAAAGCCATTGAATCATTTCAAAATACGTCTGTCCAGTCGAAAGGTATTACTTGTCGGAATTTCAAGCCAATCCATACAAGGAAATGGAGCAATCAAGTCGCCGCGAAACGCTTCGGATGAATCGCCTCCATACCAGTCACCCGGAATGACTGTGCCTTGGAAATTTGCTACATGGCTGAGAGCACACGCATTATCCCGCAGGATCATGAGGACAAGGCTGTCAAGCAGCTGAGACCGGGGCTAGATCAGTCTGTGCCCCGGCTTGTAGGGATGTCGATTTTCAAGCATTCTGCGGAATGTGTAGCGGAATCATTACGCCAGGGTCGATCCTTGTCTCATGGGCTGGACAGTAAAGACACAGGGAAGCTAGGACCAAATTAGTATACACGGAAATGATATCATGGATCCATGGTCATCTATGGATGATAACAGAACTCAGATGCAGAATGATTGATGCTGATGCACAAGTCTAGGTAAAGGCTTATGCTGATGATGAGTAATTGTGATGATGGCGGGGTACCTGGATGGTGTCACGTGAATGCGTCTATGGTCTGAACTGTCTCCCGTAACAGGGCCCGAAAAGAGTCACAATTTAGTAGTGGGTAGAGGCACGGTGATTGATATCCCAGAGTCCTCGTCTCGGTCCCCGCCACGCAGTCCTTTCTCTCGACCTCAGTTATCCTCTTCATACGGCTGCAACCATGGCGTCCGATTTGACAAACCCCATCCTGGCCGCTCTGTCCGCGTCCGACGGTCCAATCCTCTCCGACAAAGCCTTCCCCTCTACCCCCTCACTAAACATTAAGAGTGCGCTCGACCGTCTAGCCTCGCGGAATATGATCGAATATGAAACAATCGAAAGGGATGCCATTGCTTTGACCCAGGAGGGTGAGGAAATCGCTGCCAATGGCAGTCACGAAGCTAAGGTCTTCCAGGCCGTATTGGCGGCCTTGGACGGATTGAAGATCGGTGACTTGCCTGGCATTGTCGGAAAGGAGAACGCCAAGGTCGGCCAGGGTAATGCATTCAAGAAAGGCTGGATCAAGAAGGACAAGGATGTGTTGCGGGCGAACACCGAGTCCATCGTCGATGATACCCAAGAGCAGCTGTTGATCGTCAAGAACACGCAGACCTTGAACGACCAGAAGGCCATCGCGGACCTTAAGCGTCGGAAATTGATCGCTCTGCAGAAGGTCTTTTCCTTCCGGATTTCAAAGGGCCCCAAGTTCGCCAAAGAATTTGTCAAGGAGGAGACCGATCTGACGGCCGAGATGCTCGCAAACGGATCGTGGAAGACGGCTACGCTGAAGCCGTACAACTTCAAGGCCAAGGGTGCTCCTACCCCGGCCGGTGCCTTCCATCCCCTCAACAAGGTGCGACAGGAGTTCCGGAATATTTTCTTTGAGATGGGTTTCGAGGAGATGCCCACCAACCGCTTCGTAGAGACGGGATTCTGGAACTTCGACGCCCTCTACGTCCCTCAGCAACACCCCGCCCGTGATCTTCAAGATACATTCTACATTGCAGACCCTGCCACCGCCGACCCTCCGCGTGAGGATCCCTTGAACGATCCCCACCGTCTGAAATCCGTTCAGCCCGCGTCGGCAGCGACCTCGGCGAAGCCCCTCGACTACAAGGAGTACTGGGAGAACGTGCGCCAGGTCCACGAGAACGGAAAGTACGGCTCGATCGGATACCGTTACCCCTGGAACGCAGACGAAGCCCTTCGGTTGGTTCTGCGTACCCACACCACGTCGGTGTCGACCTACGTCCTGCACAAACTCGCCGCGAACCCGCGGCCGGCAAGGTACTTCAGTATCGACCGAGTCTTCCGTAACGAGGCCGTCGATGCTACCCACTTGGCTGAGTTCCACCAGATTGAGGGTGTCATTGCTGACTTCGGTCTCACCCTGGGTGGTCTGATTGGATTCATGGAGGTCTTCTTCGCAAAGATGGGTATCCACCAATTGCGCTTCAAGCCCGCCTACAACCCTTACACCGAGCCCAGTATGGAGATCTTCGGTTACCACGAAGGACTGGGCAAGTGGGTCGAGATTGGAAACAGTGGTATGTTCAGACCAGAGATGCTGGAGTCCATGGGCATTCCCAAGGACATGAGAGTCTACGGATGGGGATTAAGTCTTGAGAGACCAACCATGATTAAGTGAGTTCTGCCATGCTTTCCTCTTCGAGTCCTTCAACTGACATGTTATCGCAGATACGGAGTGAGCAATATTCGAGAACTTCTTGGCCACAAAGTCGACCTCAACTTCATCGAGACCAATCCTGCCGTGCGACTGGAGAAGGACTAAGTGGACAAAAGGGTGTCTCGATGCGTTGGAGATATTACGGGAAAAGAAAATAGCATTCAACTCGATATCCTGGATCCGTTTTAGAGTTATCGAAAACAGACAGAAAACGTTACATATTTTTTTTCTTCAACGGGCTACGAAATGATGCATGATCATAAAGGAATAGAATTCTACAAAATGTTAATTCAAACCCTTCCGCTTATCAAATCTAGAATGTAGGACTACATATGCAAGAAGCACGAAAACATGGTATGTCCCACCCGTATCTGTGCCCCAGCGCATGTTCTTTGCAACAGTGGCTCTTCAGTAGGCGGATCCTGATATTCGGCTGGATGATTACTTTCTACCTCCTCGCTCATGGGATGGAACCAGATGCATATCTGTCCGATACGCAATCCGATTCCGTGGACGAGGAAGCCTTGATGTGCCGAATGGGATGGAAAAAACGAGAAGGACAAAGAAACTACAGCAAGGAAACCGCTGATCCTGAACATGGTCGTCGTATCATGATACAGCAGGCCAATTGAGCCAATGACGGTAAGACCGGGGAAGGGAAGCTATGAGAATCCTATGCATGGATGGGCTGACTGGATTGAATTGGATGGAATTTCTTTAGTCTTTCATTGACTCATGGAAAAAGAAAATGATTTTTGGACATCAACTCCCAGACGTAACTCATCTAACGGCACGTCTTTTCCTGTCCGCATCGCCGTCCAAATCAGCATGTGCGTTCTCCGAACAAGATTCGATAGATGTAGCACTTACATCCAACTAACCCGTCTTGCACCGCAAACACCAGAAACGAAAGATACCTCGCGTTTACCGCTGGCTGCTGGCGGACCAGACGTTGCGGACGTAGCCATCACGCTGGCAGAGGCGGTTCAGGGAGTCATCGCTCTCGCCACGGGCACGGATGAAGCCGCAGAGAGCATAGCTCTGGTTCTCGCCGGTGTAGCGACCGTTCTCGTCGACCTTGCCGATGGAGATCTGGACGGAGGCGTGGTCGTTGGCCTTGATGATGCGGTTGGTGGCGCTGCACTTGCGGGGGACGTAGCTGTAGGAAAAGGAAGAGAAAGGTTAGTCCTGTGCGTTTTGCAATATTCAATGCATTGGGTTCACGATGATCTCCTGCTTCTGCTGGTTCCCGGAAGCCGGAAGAAACTCTGCGAAAAAAGGACTATCCTGCAACAGTCGCTTGGTGAAGGCTGAAAGCTCGCCCCAGATTGTCCTCCTGTCGTCTTGTGCATTGTCCCAAGTCGCAGAGTCATTCTCGGCCCCCGGACCACCGTAAAACCAGTTCAAGCGCAAACAGCGAAGGACATTAGTATTCACGTACAGATCGACGATCTCTCCCTTTTCGTTCTCCATTTTGGCGTTTAATGAGGTTCTTGAGGTCGGCGACGGTGAAGAAGACGGAGGTGCGCTGGCGGGTTCAACTTGCGGACACTMGTGAAAATCTACTGAGAATCGAGCGGGTTGTGTGGGTCATGTGATCCTTTATCGAGGGCTGCGATTTTCTCGTGTGGCGGTGCCAATTCTGTGGCGTGTGGCGTCTGTGCCAAACAGTATTTTACCAGGAACAATACAGGTAGGTACCTACGGAGTACCAAGGTGCTAAGGCCCAAAGCGGGATAGCGCCAAATGACTCGGGCTCTTCACAAGTGAGCTTCACACGTTGCTCTTCCTCTCTATGATGCTATGTACAGCGTTATTACAGACTGCTCTTCTCCTGCTCTGCAAATACGTCCTTCTTCCATCGAACATCGAGTTTTCGAGCAGCCCCCTGCTTGAACTGTACATACACCACCCGATCGGGCTCCCCAGCCCGAGTCGTGCCCTCCAACTCCGGTCCAGGATGATCTAATGCTAACACAGTCCGTCCATCCGAGGACATTTTGAGCATCTTAGGAGAGATACATTTCTCCGTCCAGGGCGGTGTTCCCGAATGGGCAAACTCCACCAATTCAGCTCGTCTGTTCCTCAGTTCCTCGGGCGAAGCCGTCGCTAGCGGTTCCTTGTCGAGGAAGTGCGACACTAGATGTAACAGAAGGAACTGCGGAGGGAACATGATGATTTCGCCGCTTTGAGCCTTCCGCAGCCATTCTGCTGCAGGCAGAAACATGGCCTCTGTTATTTCGATCCCGCCATCGCTCGTAGGAACATGAATTTCTTCCCTCTCTCCTTCGGCGGGAATCTCGTTCAGTACTGACTGGTCTGATTCAACTGGAAGAGGCAGGAAGTAGAGGTACATCTGTGTGGAGTATCGTTTGGGGACATTCGTAGGGGTAATCCATCGCGTGAACGGGATCAAAGGCTCTGTAGCTGCATCAGCTGAACATGTCGGTGTTTATGGGACGACTTGAGAACAGCGCACCTATATCCGGTCCTGCTGCAGCATTCTGCTTCTTCAACCACTCGGCAAACGTCATCTCATGCTGATGGATGGCTCGCCTGCCTCTTTCTCTCTCTGCCTCGGGTACAGCTAGCATTACGCCTGTGTTCTTGTCTCGCGCCAGCAGGATACCGCTCTCCTCAAACAGTTCCCTCACGGCAGCATTGCGGTACCATGGCGCATCCTCGTGCCTCTTTGGATCCTCCGGGGCGGGACATTCTCCGTCCTGGGCAGACAGATTTCCTCCAGGAAATACATGCGCCGAGGCAAATGAAGTTGATGTCTTGACGCGATGCAGTAACAGGACTTCATTTTTGGGCGAGATGAGTATGACGCTGCCGCAGATTAGCTGTAGAATTGCAAGTTATGATAATTTGATCGATTCAACACTGCTTATAAAACGTAATCGCTGGGTTCAAATGCACATCACGGATGGCATCAAGATAAACAAGGGGCGTCTTATGTACTAACCTTGAGCTCGGCCTCGGTATCGCCGGCGTCGCCTTGGGCCGACCACCCTTTTTAGTTGCCATTTTGTGTGATCCAGTGGACTGCGATGATTTCACCGCAGAAGAGAAGCTTCTAACGTCGGATCTTCCGCGTTGACAGATGTAAGGCACCGGTAGTACTTGTATACACCTAGAGCGTGGACCTCGGACCAAGCTTAGCCGACGGTCGAACGACTGGCCAGACCTGCAGATGAACCGGAAAGTTGAGCTGAAGGGCCCAGAAAGGAATGCCTTGGTGACCATGAGAGACGAGCGCCACTGAAGGCGCGTTATGCCCCTGCTTCCTACGAGTAGTATTAAGGAACGTTCGGTACCACTTGCTAAAGTGATGGTGCCTGGGTTGTTCCGGGGATCGGTACCTTAACCTTGGCAATGACGGAGGGAACCTAGGCTTCTTCTGCTTTACCCCGCGCGATTCTCCTGCAGGACGCATGTCTAAGTCACGAGTCATTACAGTCTAAAGCCTACAAGGACAAGTAGTTTTGAATATTATTTTAGGATTTTTTCCTTTTTGATTCATAAATGAACTGCCTGATGGCAAGCATAATTACTTCGAACAGCAACATTGTGGTTGAACAAGAAAATCATCCGAAGTGCATTCCATGTCAAAACTCCAAAACCATCATGCCCAATTTTTACTTTCATACCAAGCGTGTATCATCATGTGAATATAGCCTGACTGACAAGTCCTGAGAGAGAAGAGACGTAAAGAGAAGTTACGCTTTTCACATCCAACAAAGACCTTTACGAGTAGAGCTTCTTGTCGTAGCTGTGCAGACCGTGGACGTTACCCTCGGCCATGGCACTAGCGCTTCTCATCTCAAAACGAACAATGCCCTTGTTGACACCGTCGTGGAGCTCGTCAAGGCTCTTGACACCAATGTCTTGCAGAGAGTGCTGGACACCCGCAACAAGGTAAGGGACAAACTTGGTGACCGAACCACGGTCGAGGACGGAACCAGCGACACCCTGAGCGACAAGCACACGGTCCTTCTCGGAGAAGTAACGGGCAGTACCAGCGTTGCTGGCCTTGCTATCCTTGCTACCAGCACCGGCCTTCTTGTCCTCCATGGCAGCGATACTTCCCATGCCACGGTAGGCCTTGACAAGCTGGCCTTCGTTGCTCACGAAGTATTCACCGGGAGACTCGGTGGTACCGGCGAGGAGACCTCCCATCATGACGGTCGAGGCACCCATGGCGAGACCCTTGACGATGTGGCCAACGTTCTGGATACCACCGTCGGCGATGCAAGGAACTCCGAAGCGGGCAGCAAAGGCAGCGACGCTGCGAACGGCAACGGCCTGGGGACGACCGACAGCCATGACTTCCTGGGTAATACAGGCACTGCCGCTGCCCATGCCAATTCTCAGGCCATCGGCACCAGCAGCAATCAGAGCTGCGGCTTGTTCCCGAGTGACGACGTTACCGGCGACAACGTCAATTTCGGGGAATGTCTTCTTCACCCACTTGATCATCTCGATCTGGTAGATGCTGTTACCCTGGCTGCTGTCCAGGATGACGATATCGAGACCAGCCTCGACGAGAAGCTTAAGTCTGTGCTTATCCTCCTCACGAGTACCAATAGCAGCAGCACAGATCAGCTGTTTCGAGTCGGGTAGCTTAGACGCCAATGGGTAGTGGAGGTTCTTCATCAGATCACTGCGAGACAGCAAAGAGACAAGGTTTCCGTTTGCGTCAACAATGGGAAGCTTTCCCTTCTTGGAGCTACGAAGAACGTTGTTGGCCTCGGCCAGAGTGGTGCCGGCAGGTGCAGTGACAAGGTCGGTGGACATGATGGCGGTGACCGGGTCATTGAGGTTGGTGTGGAATTGGATATCTCTGGATGTGACCATACCGACGAGCTTGGAGCGGAGAGTTCCGTTTTCTGTTACAGAATCACAAATTAGATAATGGCTTGCAGAGAGTGATTGTGATGAAGACAAGTTATTATGCGTTGTCGTTTTCAGATAGAATCGTTTCTCTACATCGCAACTCTCGTTGCTCCAGTGGAACGAAAGTTATAAGAGATAAGATGGAAAATCATCATGTAGGGGGTGACAGCTGAGAGGAAGAAGAATTGTGCACTTACCAGTGACGGGGAAGCCTCCAAAGCCCCACTTTGCCTTGAGCTCCTTGGCCTCTCCAACGGTGGCCTTGGGAGAGAGAACCACAGGGTCCAAAATGAAGCCGTTCTCGTATCTCTTGACCTTTCTGACCATCTCGGCCTGATCCTCGGGGGAACAGTTGTGGTGGATGACACCCAGACCACCCAGAAGAGCCATGTGGATAGCCATGTTGTGCTCGGTAACAGTGTCCATGGGAGAGGAGAGAAGAGGAACCTTCAGCGAGACACGCTTGGTGACAGGAGTATCAAGAGTAACATCGGAAGCAGGGAAGCCTGTCATGATCATGAACAAACGGTCCTGTTACGTAAAGGACGAGTTTCCACTATCTTACCGATGTACCCAGGCAGGATCAGGAAATCATTGTAAGTCAATGCTCCGTGCTTGTCCGAATCAAGAAGGGTATCAACATCAAGGCCATCTCTGGTAGTGTATTCCTTTTCCAGGACCTCCAGGGCCTTGGTGTGGTCCTGAATCTCTGCCTTCATGGCGCGGCCGAGCGAGTCACCGTTGGCGATGGGCATTGTGTATATAAAGAGACAGACTCTACGGTTTCTATCGTAACTCGCAGAGACGGGTATCAGATCAAAATAATCAACAGATCGACGATAGAAACGTTCTGTTGATGGAGAAAGTCTTCCTTTCCCAAAGAAAGGAAAGAAAGAAAAAGAGAGAAAACCTCGAGGGGAAAAAAATTGCCTTTTGACTGTCTGCCGCACAAGCTAATCCCGGCAGGTGTTATACCGGAAATGGTATAGTCAATGTGCTGATTGCGGAGCCTGTTATTATAATTGGCTGTTTAACGAAAACTCTTAAGGCGGTGAGCCTGAGGGGCGGCATATTGCTTGATAATCGCATTTGATAATCTTGCGATAGTCTGACTGGATGTGAAGATTCCACGCGCAGGACTTGAAGGATTGTACTCCGTCTGGCATATACTGGGCACCGGGTTTCCACTATACATGACAGGACCTATGCTAATAGTTAGCGTAGTCTCAGATATCTGGTCATGTAATGCACACACAACAAGCTGCTTGAGTCAAGGTAACTGCTAGTAGGTGCCTCTTGTGATGCACTGCGACGTGAAACCTATACTATGCTTTAGCTCAGCTGCTTCGGCAATCAGTCTAGATCACTGGATACAGGTGGTCATATTTGTCTAAACATGTCAGCCGGGAACATATCAGCCAGGAAGGGGAAGTCGTGCACAAGACATAGGATAGCAATATACCTTACCTCGATCGAATGATAACAACATGCATACTGTTCACAAATGGAAGAGTTCCAAAGTCACTGCTCCGTAAGGTACTAACCCATGGTAGACTGAACTGCGCTCGACTGTATATTTACATAGCCAATTTGCGACACTGTGACGCCAGAGTGACAGCAGACCTGATGCACTGTGCTATTTAATAACTCGCAGGGGTGGTGTCTACTCAACCTTCCAGTGCGAAGGCTCGAGCAAAACTTCACTCGTCTACATCAAGCTAGTAGATCACTTCGAAATGGCATCACAGATGGGCAAGGAAGGTGCTTTTCAAGCGCCTCAGGCACCACAAAGTCAGAAGAAACCAGGGTCAGTATTTCGTACCTCCTTGTGTGGCCCTTAACTGCTCCGGTATTAAGGACATGATTATTAGACTTGAAAAGGATATGGTCCCGCCCAGCGAAGCGACGAAACTGGAGTCAAGAGGTCACTTTGTTGAGTATGTAGGCTCTGGCAAATTGAAGGACAAGAAGGTCCTCATCACCGGCGGAGAGTATGTCGGACAGCTTTAGGTGCGCTACTCAATGAAGAATATTGACGAGCGTATAGCTCCGGAATTGGCCGAGCTGTTGCCATTCTGATGGCACGCGAAGGGGCAGATATCACTATTGTCCATCTTCCCGAAGAAAAAGATGACGCTGAAGAGACCAAAAGAGCCATTGAACTCGAGAAGAGGTCATGTCTACTCGTCGCTGGAGACCTCAGGGATCACCATACGTGTCGAAGGGCCGTGGAGGAACATATGAACAAGTAACCACAGGTCTTTGTTAATTGTCATATATTGCACCGACTGATACGAGAGCAGGTTCCAGAGACTGAACGTCCTGGTCAACAATGCCTCAAAACAGTATATGAATAAGAACTTCGCGGATATCGACCTGAACAAGGTAGAGGATATCTTCCGGACCAACATCATCCAGATGATGGCTCTGACGAAATATGCTTTGCCATTCCTGTCAAAGGGCGACTCGTTAGTATTCCTCGATCTGCAGTGTGCGCAACTAACTCATCGTTCTTATATCAATAGCATCATAAACACCACATCTGTCGTGACCTTCCGAGGTTCAAGCAGTATGGTGGACTATGCGGCCACGAAAGGTGCCATTGTCGGGTTCACCAGATCTCTAGCGTMTCAGTTGCTTCCCAAGGGTATTCGAGTGAATGCTGTTGCGTAAGTGACCAAGAGTTGAACTCCTTCACACAATTCTTAGCTAATCGCCTCATTCAACAGCCCTGGTGCTATCTACACCCCGATCCAGGCCGACACTAGGGACGCTGAACAGATGGCCAACTGGGGCTCAAAGACTCCCCTGGGTCGACCGGGTGAGCCAAGTGAAGTAGCGACTACTTTCGTGTTTCTTGCAAGTGCCGACGCTTCACTTTACTGTAAGTGCGCCTTTTGCTTGTGTCTCAGGTTTTGGATGAGGACGAGCCAACTGAGAATTGTGCAGACGGGCAGGTCATGCATTGCTATCCCTTGGGTGATTAATCCGAGGGATCTCTGAGTAGAGCTTGGACATGTCAAACCTAGTCTGCATCGTAATTGACCAAATAGTTCTGATTTTAATACAAAAGCCATGGTTTCGCCTGTGAGATCGCCTTGTCCCACCCAGCCTCATTCGTCAAGACCGCAATGCTCTCAACCTCGTGTTTTCCCAGCTTCAGCCCATTATATAGATGCTGGGGCAATCAGTAGATATTCTCACAACCTCCGCTTTGAGTAGTAGGTCACGAATGAATCGAGGAAAAGGCGGAGGTTACGTCTTGTAGGGAAAGGATAGAACCTACCGGGAAAAGACCTTCATCGGGTCGCGGCCCACAAACCTTTGCATCTGGCGACTCCCATCTAATATCGGCCATGACTCGATCGAATTCTATACGCAGTACATAGACTAACGGCTCGTCCTTGAAGAAGTATTTCAATGTGTTTGGAACTTGCAAGGCGGTTGACAGATGGATGAAGCCAGACTCCTGGTCGAGTTGGCTGACGGGTAAGCGCTCGGGAAGTGGCTCCCGGATTGGGGACGTGGAGGGAACCAGTTTGTAGAGGTAGAATGGTAACGACTCTGTCATTATTAAGTTGCTCTGATGAATTCCTCTTTGATTCTTATCGTTCATAGGCAGGTAAGTGTTGAGTATCCGAAAGATTAACGTGTGTACCTACAGTATATTTCGTTCCGATGGACAGGCGGGGTTCTTACCCGTTCTTTGGTGGATAATGTCAACGAACGGGTAATGGACTCAACACCGCGATCTCGGAGTGTTGGCGATAATTGACTCTTTAGTTTCTACATAGAATTGCAAATTCTAATGAGAAGATGAGATATCATCTCATGAGCTGAAATGCAGATTCTCTAGGCTTTATTCGATGGTGACCCAGGTCGCGCTTGTCTATATGAAAGTCGCACCTCTTGGCCAATCGCGTATCAACGCAGGAGTCAGAGCGTCTAATGGTAACAAAGCGGTTTTGTACTCAAGATGATGTCCTCTGGTTTCTTTTGTCTGCGATATAAGCATATGATGGACTTCCTTTGTTCTACTCTAAAGAGCTGGACTAACTTAAAAGACTCTTCAGCCAGCCACTGTCACTGGGTTATTGAATCATCCGTGTGTTAATTAACTCCTGCTCCGTAGTACCTCTGGCCTACAGGCAATTGTCCTCCACAGAAGCGAAAAAATTCTAAAGACTTGTTAGAGAGAACCGAGAGACTCGAGACGCTCTGGCCCCATTGGATCTATGACTGCATGTCATTTTGATGATAATAATAATAATATGTTCCCGGTTGCACGGGTGAACCAGGTTGGAGATCGTGATAAGCCCCGCAGACGATCCCTGGCCTCCATCGGTCATCCCGAACAATCCATAATCTTCCAGAGTGCTATAGTTACTAGTATCAAAGTGAGCAAACTCCCTTGGATAATGGCTGAATCTTGGATTTAAACATGTTATCAGATTGGTGTATTGGACTGATCACACGTGCAGCTGGAGTACTTTATCATCGTTGACACTTAATAAGCAGAAGAGATGGATCGTGGATGTGCCATAAGTGGGCTGCACGTGAAGCGATCTGTGGCTGGAAAAAGGATGATAGTTACCATAAATGGACGAGGAAGGTGTGGCACAGTCACCTGATGGCGCCAACCATACCCAATAGGGAGATTTGTTTTCCCTGCCCTGCTGATTATTGCTTGCTTGCTTCCTTGAGACTTGACAGAGATACAGAGGGGGCTGGGACATCAAGATCAGTATCTCTGTGGAGGCCATTATCCAACTGAAAAAAAGGTACCTAGGTAGCGCCTTCTCATCCCACTCCATACTCATCTATTCTCTACTCTGTATTCTTTTTCTTCCTCCCTCCTGCGTTCACATCTCCCGAGAGGTCGAATCGCTTTGTTATCGTCGTTGATTCCTATTTTGCTCTTTCCATATTTACGATTTCTCTCCCGCTTTCGATTCCTTCACGCTTCCTCTTCTGCAAAGAGAGAGGCATTACATTACATCCACCGCGTTTCTATATCAACCCCGATCTACCCGCCCAATTCTTTCGGTTGCCATAGGGCAATGCGGTCCCTCCCTTGAATAAACATTCCCGTCTCAACCAAAAGTAGTCAGGTACTATTGCGCATTAGATACTCGGCCTACTTACAGTTACAGCACCGCTTCTGCTTTACGAAGCAGGCATGCGGCCAATTGAAGTTCAAAATTACCCATTTCTCTTGATCTTTGCATTCTTGCCCACGCAACGTCATCAGTGATGGCGAGTCAGCCAATTTCTCCACGACGCACACAGACCGATCTTCCGCAACATACCTCGAGCCCGCTCCGACATGGCTCGACCGCATCCACAAGTTCATCAGTCTATTCTCTCTCGTCAAATTCGCAAGCTCCCAGTCGAACCAGTACCGTCTCGTCAAATGCGTCGATGGGGTCTGCTTCCCGGATCGGCCACCGACGAGGCAAAAGTGAACTAAACTCGACTACATTGGGGACAATGGTAAAAGACACCTCTGAAGGGGGAAGCTGGACGAGCGCGGCGACGACATATGAGAATGTTCGGCGTTCCTTGCGACCACTTCCCCAGGCTCCTAATGCGTCCCCTCCGATGAGTAAAACGTCTGTATATCGGCATACGAGAAGTCAAACCGTCGATAATCCACAGTATTGGAAGGAAAACCGCCCTCAAACTCCTGATTCACGCCACCCACACAGTTTGGAGACCGACCGACCGACCGAACGGCAGTCACTCAATTCGCAAACCCCTCCGAGAAAGAACTCCGTACAGCCAGGATCTCCTCACGCCGTTTCACCTCATTCTCGACCGCATATGCGACCACATCACTCCCATAGTCTGTCTAACCCGCTTCCACCTCCTCTTACGACGACCCTCTCAACACCGGAGTTAGAGACTTTCAAGAAGTCATCGACGGGCCACCTCCGTACTTTGTCTAAGTTCGCCAAATCGGGTGACACTGAGGAGTTTGCTCTCGAAACCTACAGTCCTTCTGTAGTGGGTTTACAAGGACGACGACGACTGAAGCGCGCGGGTTCTGTTGCGGGCACGCAGGGCTCCAGGGCTGCTCGAAAGCAGAATGCGTCGGCCTGGGCGGCTGGTAATTGGATGGACAAACAACGTCAATTTTTGCAGGCGTACGAGTATCTTTGCCACATCGGAGAAGCCAAGGAATGGATCGAAGAGGTCATTCAGAAGCAGATCCCGCCAATCGTCCAACTGGAGGAAGCCCTCAGAGATGGCGTCACTCTCGCAGAACTCGTGCAGGCGATGTATCCTAACCGAACGTTCCGAATCTTCAGGCACCCGAAATTGCAGTATCGACACTCCGACAATATAGCCTTGTTCTTTCGATTTTTAGACGAGGTCGAGTTACCCGAGCTATTCAGGTTCGAACTCATTGACCTGTACGAAAAGAAGAACATTCCGAAGGTCATCCACTGCGTGCACGCTTTGTCATGGTTGCTCTTCAAGAAAGGTCTGGTGGATTTTCGCATGGGAAATCTTGTCGGCCAACTCGAGTTCGAGCACCATGAGCTCGAACAAACGCAAAAGGGGCTAGACAAGTCAGGAGTAAGCATGCCCAGCTTCTCCGGCATGGCTGCGAACTTTGGTGCAGAGCCCGAGCCAGAACCAGAGCCAGAACCTGAAACCGAAGAAGAACGAATCGAGCGCGAACTCCACGAGAATGAAACATCAATCACCGATTTCCAGGCTCAGATCAAGGGCGCGATGTTGCGGTTGAAGCTTGGCAATGTCATGAACGAACTGTGGGATTTCGAACCCTTCCTCATCGATCTCCAGTCCAGACTTCGTGGCGACTGGGCCCGTCAGGTCATTCAGTATCGGCTAAGTATGCGGTCTTTTGCAGTAAATTTGCAGGCGGCCTGCAGAGGATTCATTGTACGATCCCGCCAGCAAGGTGAGAGGGAATGGTGCCAAGCCCAGGAGCTTGAGGTTCTGCGGCTGCAGACTCTCATCAGAGGCGCAAAGGCAAGAACTCAAGTCCAGTATCTCCGGAGTCGGACGCGGAAAGAAGAATCAGGCATCAAGCAGGTTCAAGCGGCTATTCGAGGCGCCCTGCAACGGAAGAAAGTTTGCGCTGTGTACGAAGACACGAGAGCCATAGAGCCTCGAGTCATCGCATTGCAAGCTGCTGTGCGAGGCGCTCTTTGTCGGATAATGATTTCAAAGCAACACGACGAGACGCAATGCGCTGAAGACAGAATTACACAACTCCAAGCGCTCATTCGAGGTGCTCATTTCCGGCGGCAATTGAGCGCTCAACAAGACGACATCAAGAACACTGGAGATAATGTGCAACAGCTGCAAGCTGCGATTCGAGGAATGTTGACACGTAAAGCCATAATTCATCTGAAGAGTTCTCTCGCTGAAGAGATGCCGTCCGTGATATCAATTCAAGCCGGTGCTAGAGCTCTGGCGGCCAGAGACCGCTATTCCCAACTCACTGACGCACTTGCAAAGACAAAGAATGAATGCATATCTCTGCAGGCTTTCGTCCGTGGTGGAGCTGTGAGGGGACACCTGAACTCTCTTCGGCAAGCGTTAGGGGAGCACACTCTGTCAATCATTGGGCTCCAGAGTATCATTCGAGCAAAAGGCCTACGGGACGCTCTCGGCGCACAGAGAGCGGCGTTGGTGCAAGAGGAAGGGTCAATTCTGCAGCTACAGTCAGCGGCCCGAGCTGCTATCCTAAGAAGGCGCCTGGAAGCCGACGCAGAAGCCCTCCGAGCACAGGAACACATGATTGTGGATCTTCAAGCTCTCTCCAGAGCCGCAATTCTGAGGATCAGAGTTGGAGCTGTCCTTGATGAACTGGAAGATTGTGAGGACGAGGTTAGCCAGCTGCAGGCGCATATACGTGCGATGATCGTTCGGGTCGACGTCGGCCAGGATTTGGCTGATCTAGCAGCCGAAGAGGAACTGATCACGGACCTACAATCTCGCATGCGCGGAC